GAGACGGGGTTTCACCATGTTGACCAAGATGGTCTCGATCTCTTGACCTCATGATCCACCCGCCTCGGCCTCCCAAAGTGCTGGGATTACAGGCTTGAGCCACCGCGCCTGGCCTACATCTGTGTTCTTATAACCTACTCTTTATTAAATAGGCAACTGTGGTTTTAGAGAGGTTGGTTAATTGGCTCATGACCCCACAGTTAAAGTAGCTGTCTCATTCACAGTCAAGCCATCAGCCTGCCTGGCTTCCAAATCTTTCTTTTGCTCCTCAGCAGAGATGAATAAAGATCTGTGCAGCAATTGGATCAAGATATATGTTAAAATCAGATTAATGAAGACAGTCAAATCTAGCTATAAGTTAACTCTCATTTAATGTTATTGTTAGAAATTAGGTTGGTCTAACAGTTTGTCCTAATAAATTTGACAATTTCAGTGGTAACCAATATCTTATTTTTACCATCAAAGGCTTTAGGGCAGTGTAAAGGTTTGGCCATAGGATTGTAAATTTTACAAAACCAAGATTAGACAAGTCTTAGAGAGAAATAACTTGACTTCCCAGTTTGGTTTTCCCTTTAGGCTAGTATTTCTGCCTACTTCCACAATACTTTTCTTTAGTCTTTTTTTCTTTTTCCATGACATTTCCATAACCTTCTCTTGATGTTTTAAAGTGTTCTTCTCTGCTTTTGGTATTTCTTTTGTTCTACTATTTTTCCAAATTCTGCTGGCTATGTATCCCCAATTCTCCTATAGACAATCAAAAGCATGCAGAATTTCAGAATTTTAAGGAATCATAGGACTAATTAAAATAACCTCCAGTACTTCAACATGTGTTAAACATTCTGATCAAGTGTTTTTCTACATAGAGAACCTGAGACTCAAATAGATTAGGATAGTTTTCTTTTTGGACACAGGAAGTGGCAGAAATGAGATTTAAACTCATTTTAAAGCCCAGTACTCAGCATTCTTTTTTTATTTTATGGGTGTTTTTTTGTTATTGACAGGGTCTTGCTCTGTCACCCAGGCTTGAGTGCAGTGGTGCAGTCTAGGCTCACTGCAACCTCTGCTGCCTGAGTTCTAGCAATTCTCCTGCTTCAGCTTCCCGAATAGCTGGGATTACAGCTACACCATCGTGGCTCACACCTGTAATCCCAGCACTTTGGGAGGCTGAGGCAGGCGGATTATGGGGTCAAGAGATCCAGATCATCCTGGGCAAAATGGTGAAAATCAGTCTACTAAAAATACAAAACAAATTAGCTGGGCATGGTGGCAGGTGCCTGTAGTCCCAGCTACTTGGGAGGCTGAGGCGAGAGAATTGCTTGAACATGGGAGGTGGAGGTTGCAGTTAGCCAAGATCATGCCATTGCACTCTAGCCTGGTGACAGAGCAAGACTCTGTCTCAGATGATGATGATGATGATGATGATGATGATGATGATGATACAAAGGGGGAGTGAGTCTGGTGCACCCAGTGGATAGAATGAGAATGAAATTAGCTGTTAAACCCAATGGCAGTGGCTAAGAATGGAATGAGCAGGGGAAGGCCAAGTTTGATGAGAAACAATACCTTATTGGATAGGAATATGAATTCTTCAGTAAGAGATCAGAATATTGGAGTTTATGACAAGTTTAATAAAGATAAATTACAAAGATGAAGAACACAAGATCTTGGGAATTTACAAAGGCACATTAAAATAGAGGGTTCAAGGGAGCTTTAAACACATTGCTGCTTTTTTTTTTTTTAATCAATAACTGACATGAAAATTTTTACTGAAAGATGCTAAAACATTTTGAGACACTGGGAAGAGTCTCTACAGTAGATAGAAATGTGGTATCACGTGCTTCCATTCTGACTTACAGAGGGGTGGCTTAGAGCTTCTTGAGTACTAGGGGCTGGAGATTGCTGAACAACATAGATCTGTAGCCCAGGGCAGGTGTCTCCTCGCCTCTCCTTCTTTTCATAATTCACTGATGGTCTTCCAATGTTCATGTAGGCTGGGTCAGGGGCATGATTGACTGGCCAATCAGTCATGAAGTTCAGTTGGGAAATTGGAGGTGTGTCTATGCTCGGGGCAGTTGATGGAGACTCCAATTAGCTTGTTATTCAGGAGCAGGGATGTAGAGAGTCACTCCTGGTCATTTGAGGCCATCCTTTCAGGAATCTGTGCTGTCATAGATTGAAGATTTGAAGATTGGAGACTGCCATGGAGCACTGCATAATCTGGAATCTGGAAGTCTATAGGAAGAAAGATATTTAGATAGTACTTAGGGAAATAGAGATACAACTACCAGAACTCTGTTTTTCCAGCAGTCTCTCTTCTTGGATATCTGAGTGCCTATGAAGGTTTTTTTTTTAGAGGGAGTCTCACTCCATCACCCAGGCTGGAGTGCAGTGGCATGATCTCAGCTCACCACAACCTCTGCCTCCAGGGTTCAAGCGTAATAGCCTCCCTAGTAGCTGAAATTACAGGTTTTTGCCACCACACCTGGCTGATGTTTGCATTTTTAGTGGAGACAGACTTTCACCATGTTGGCCAGGCTGGTCTTGAGCTCCTGAACTCAAGTGATCTGCTCCCTTTGGCCTCTCAAACAGCTGGGATTTTAGGCATGAGCGACCGCACACGACCCTACCTGTGAAGGATTTAAGGGCTTCCTAGTTAATGTGGACCTGAAAAACGTAGGACGTATAGAGTGGGTATAATTGAATTTTTATTACTGTTAATGTGTTGATCTTTCTGGGAAGAGTCTTCTCAAAGAGAACATACCCGTTTGTTATTAAACTTTTGTGCACTTAGCATTCACATATTTCAAATGTTGCAGGTGATTCCCTATACTGTTTTGGGACAAAGGAAAGTAACAGGACCTTCTTAAGTGGTTTCTATGCTGAGGAATCAAGACTGTTACCACCAAGGTAAAGTGGCCTCTTGTAAATTAATTTTCTCACCCAGTCAAGTTTTGCATATTATTTACTTTTAAAATTTAGCAGTGGTTTATCTATCTTCTTTTATGTTGGTAATACAAACTTGGTCAGAGAAAAGCATGGACGTGGCTAGTTGATTAAAAAATTTGTTTAAACTTGTTAACTAACAAAGGATTGATTAAGTACTGTGATGGGGTGGGGACTGATAGAAAATGAACTGGAAAATACATAGTGACAGGAAAATCACACTAGAAAATGCTTTCCCCAATAAAGGAAATATAAAATTTTGTTAAGGTTTATTTGGATAAATATTAATATTGGCTTTTAAATCATACTAGTGTTACTTTCATAATATTTATGCCTGTATAAATCTTCAGTGAATCAAATTACTTGTAGTTATCCTGGAATCTCCCTGGTACTTTTTATTGGCAAAACTGTACAGCATATAGCATATAGCTTTTTTTGGACACTTATTATTTTGGTACCATATAGTTTTTAGGAGAGATTTTTTTTTCTTCTTCTATTACTACTTCTGTAGTGAAACTAAAATAATATTAAAATTTGTAGAAAACAAGCTGAGTATGGTGGTGTACACCTGTAGTCGCAGCTACTTGGGGGTTTGAGGCAGGCGGACTGCTTGAGCCCAGGTGTTTGAGAACAGCCAGGGCAACATAACCAGATTGTATCTGCTTTAAAAATATAAATTGCAGAAATGTAGAAATTTAAATTTATGTTACCAAACTTTGTATTACAAATGGATTTTTGTGTGTTTTATTAGTTGTCCATAAAGGGTATATGTAAAACACTTCATCTAATGAATAACATGTATTTTACTGCAAATAACCAGTTATATAAGTGGACTCTTAATACCAATATGGTAAGACTTTAACACCATAATTTTGTCATTGTACTTTATTTAAAATATCCACTCAAAGTCTTTATATTACAGTCAGAAATTTAAAATTTCAGAATTTTTATATTTAGTTGTTTAAATAATCACTTGAATTCCCTGCACACTATGAGCTACTGGAGGTCATAGACATATTTCTGTGTATCCCGGAGTACCTGGAATACAGTCTTCCATGTAAGAAGCATGTAATTGTTGCTTTTTCGAGATGGAGTTTCACTCTGTCACCCAGGCTGGAGTGCAATGGTGGGATCTTGGCTCACTGCAGTCTCCACTTCCTGGGCTCAGGTGATCCTCCCACCTCAGCCACCCAAGTAGCTGGGACTGTAGGCCTTTATCCCCATGCTTGGCTGAATTTTGCATTTTTTGTGGAGATGGGGTTTTGCCTTGTTGCCCAGGCTGGCCTTTAACTGTTGGACTCACGTAATATGCCACCTCAGCCTCTCAAAGTCCTGGGGTTACACGCATGAGTTGCCACATTCAGCCTTAAAAGTTATTTAATCTGAATAAATAGATGAATGAATTTTTATATAATGGAATATTATAAGTAATATACATAATGAATCTATTGATTAAATACTGCAGTTTAAAAATATTGTTTACATTTGTATTATTTTTTAATGTTTAAGGATGTATATGTTTTGATGTGTTATTTTGAGAAATTATGCCATAAAAAAGGAAATAAATTAGATATAGTCATTAATAGCAAAGAGGGTTACACTATATTTTCTAGTAATAATTCAACTGGAATCTTAGATTATGATTTTAGACTAAAATTTCTTAAACATTTTCTTAGCCCCAACTCATGCTCTAATAAATATGCTTTTATAAGCCATGCATTACTCTTTAGAATTCTGGTGACCAATTCTTTCTCTAGGTCAAAAGTTGATGGAAAGTTCTAGTTTTCCCTCTCTGTAATAATAACGGTCTTTAAGGTAGTGGTAGATGACCATGACTAGCTAATTGAATGTTTTATAGTAATAAAATTAAACTCTGTATCACAGAAATATTTTTAAAAAACTAATTGTAGTGTAAGTATTAACCTGTATTGTTAGGGCTATAAAGGAACAAAAGGCTCTGTTACATACCTGTTTCTCCATGTACTTTATGGTACATCATGTTGTTTCTTTTCTCTTGGCTGAAGCTCATATTAAATTGACTAGTTAGGCTTCTTTGTTTTTCTCCCTTCATCCTCACATTTTAAAAATGATATATCCCCACCTAATTTTTTTCTCACAGATCTCATTTCTTTAGTGAGTGGTCTTTCAGTCCACCTGTGTCTTCATTGTCAGCATATTTAGTTACAGCTTTCTCTTTAGTTATCTATGTGTGGCTTTCATTCAACAATTATTGCCCACAAGATTTACTCGTTTTTTTTTTCTTTTTTCTTTTCTTTGTAAGAGCTGAATTTATGCACTTATCTTTATCTTTTTGACAAACAGAATAAAAACAACATACTATTTGCAATGCCAACCCACTTAAATAAGATACTACTATAAACTAAATTCTCATTTTCCCCCCACAAGAAGTGATTTATGCAAATAATTACCTCCTGCATATGCCCATAATGAATTATTTTCTCATGTTTTTAGCTCATAATTAATAAAGTAATTATGTGCTAAGTAAATTACTGCTACATAGTTTAATTCTGGTAATTTGCATGATTCATTTAAGAAGCAAGTGTATAGTGCCAGAAAAATAAAGTTTAGAATGTGCAAAAAATCACTTTGTGTTCTGAAAATAAGTTTATCTAAAATCTAAAGAATTATTTCAGGTTAAGCTGTGGCCAGATGTATCATTCTGTGGTATATCTGGATGTGCAAAATCATAAGGAGAGTTAGAAACAGTTTGAATTGTAGTTTTTATTGAAATTGGAACTTGAAAAGATAATGCTGGGATTTTAGTATGTTTATATATTTTGATTGTCCAGTAAAGATCTACAATGAACATTTTAGGTTAAGAAAAAAACCTGGGGAGTAGTAACTATGTGGGACTGTAATAACAATTTAATTTAGTGTTGTAGTAAGTGGAAGTCATTTTCCAAAAGAGAACACACTGAGTACTTTTGTGGTAGCCACACTTATAGCAGAAGTATAAAATAATAATGGTGAATTCTAATGCTATGAAATGACTGTGGAAAGAAATGGGAGGGGCCTGACTTTTCAATAGAAGCAGCTGGTGCATAGTTTTACTAGCCCAAGTAGAAGCCCAAAGACCTGTTAGCGTCCTGGTTCTGCCACTTACGAGGTATGGGACCTTAGGAAAAATTCTTTATTTGATTGTCATTGACCTCGTTCACAAAAATGGTACTAATGATACCTCTCAGGTATGTGTAATGAACAAAAGTAGTGAGAAATGTAAAAACATTTGTAAACTGGAAAATATGTTTACAAATGTGAGAAAAAATGATCACAACAGTATTCAGTGACTTAGTAAAACTCAAGGAAAATTTTTGTAAACCTGAAGGATGATAAAATGGCAGTAGCATCAAGAAAAGAATGGGGAAGTAGGAAATGGCATGGGGATTTTAAATTTGGGGTAGGGGTGTGTTCAATTTCAGCAGGCTACTATGACTGAAGATGTCCTGTAAGAACATAGCAGTTTGGCACATGAGACTTTCTGATGAAATTTTAAGTGTTTTGACCTAGAATTTATTTTTGTTATAGATCACAAGGTGTGCTAGTCAGTGAAACACTGAATATACAAGATGAGATCTTATGCTATAGTAGTAGGAACAGAAAAAGAAAGAAAGAGCAAATACTTCTCACTATAAATGCTTTCTATAAAGAAATTAGAAAATGTTAGAAGATATCAGCCGGGCGCGGTGGCTCATACCTGTAATCCCAGCACTTTGGGACGCGGAGGCGGGTGAATCACAAGGTCTAGAGATCGAGATCATCCTGGTCAACACGATGAAACCCGATCTCTACTAAAAATACAAAAATTAGCTAGGCATGGTGGTGGCATGCACCTGTAGTCCCAGCTGCTCAGGAGGCTGAGGCAGGAGAATTGCTTGAACCCAGGAGGCGGAGGTTGTAGTGAGCCGAGATCACACCATTGCACTCCAGCCTGGGTAACAAAAGCAAAACTATGTCTGGGAAAAAAAAAAAAGAAGAAGATAGCAAGGAAGTTTGTAGTTAGGATGAGAATGGGAGAGGAATGGAAATCTGTGGTCTGAGAAGACCTCTCTGAGTATGATATTTAAGCTGCCAACTAAAGGATGAGAAAGATCCAGCCATGTGAAAGTCTAAGAGAAGGAAATTCTAAATGGAGAGAACAAAGGATCACATCTATTCATCATTTTGCTCTTAGCACCCTGGAATGGGCAAAAAGAAATCATCATATTTTTTATGATTACAATATGTACAACAAATGTGAAATAGAATCCTGGCACATTTTAGATGCTTCCTAAATAAATGTTCTTTTTTTTCCTTTTAAAGAAATCTCGCTACACTTTTGAAGTTCATTCGTTCTGTCTCTCTCTCTCTCTCTTTCTCTTTTTTTCTTTCTTTCTCTTCCTTTCCTTTCCTTTTCTTCTTTTCTTTCTTCACAGGGTCTCACTTTGGTGCCTGTGCTAAAGTGCAGTAGTGCAATTTCAGCTCACTGCAGCCTTGACCTTCCAGGGTAATGTGATCCTTCCATCTCAGTCTTCTGAGTATATGGGATTACAGGTATGCACCACCATGCCCAGCTAACTTATGTGTCTTTTGCACAGATGGGGTTTGACCATTTTTCCCAGGCTGGTTTCAAACTCGTGGGCTCAAGCAATACACCCACCTTGGCCTCCCAAATTGTTAAGATTAAAGGTGTGATCCACTGCCCTGGCCTGATGGATGCAGCCAATCGCCATGGCACGTATATACCTATGTAACAAACCTGCATGTTCTGCACATATACCCCAGAACTTAAAGAATAATAAAAATAAAAATAGTTGCACAGTTGATATTCACTTGCTTTTAAATATAACATATAAATTTTATTACTACATTATTCTATTCAACCATTTTTTTCTATCAGTAAAGATTTTATTTAAAAATATGTAGTTTTTTTCAAGTCTGTTTACCTAAATGAAGCATCTTCTATGGTGTTCTATTGATGCTCAATATGACATATTTCCAAGTTTTCTATCATAAATATCTTAACACTGAAATATTTATATGAGGATATTTAATTTTTTAAATATTGTATTACACTAATATATGTATTTATATTACATATATTTTATATATGTGCGTGTGTGTGTATGTGTGTATATATAAGTTTTTGAGATGCAGTCTTACTCTTTCACCCAGGCTGGAGTGCAGTGGTTCAATCTCCGCTCACTGCAACCTCCACCTCCTGGGTTTAAGCAATTCTCTTGTCTCATCTTCCCAAATAGATGGGACTACAGGTGTGCACCACCAATCCGGGCTAATTTTTTTTTTTTGGTAGAGACAGGGTATCACCATATTGGTCAGGCTGCTCTCAAACTCCTGACCGCAGGTGATCCACCCGCCTCAGTTTGCCAAAGTGCTGAAATTACAAACGTGAGCCAACGCACCTGGCCCCCCCCATATATATAACATGTTATAACATGTCATGTTTTATATAACATGTTATGTTTAGATATAAACTTATGTTATATATAACATGTTATATATATATGTGTATGTTTATATATATATATATATATATATATAT